GACCCCCCCCCCCCCCCCCTCCTTGCTGCACCCACTAGTTTTTTGAATCCCCATCAGATGCAGATATTTGTTTGTGATTTTTTCTTCGTATACCAGATAAGACTGCAAACATATTTTACCGTAATTGAATTGCTTTGTCACAGGTGTTAAAACATCAAGTACTAGTGTTTCACAATTTAGATTGACAAAATACCTTGTTGATTAGGCAGTTAGCCTTCTCTCCAATCAGCCACCAACAGATGCTTTTAGATGCCTAGTAAGAAACTCACAATATTGTAAGTTTGAACCAACTACTCCTCCGAACTTAATCGGGAATATAAAACATGAAGACATAAATTTACACCACCTATGAACAATAGATACAAAAAAGGCACACATTCCCTTTGAAGCCTCGTTAGTAGCTGGAAAAGTTCACAACAGATTGCTTTTTTTCCCACCAACTTGGCTCCCTGAGATTTGATATGCAGCATAGCACATCCAACAACCAATTTAGGGCCATCACTTAAACCTAACATGCACAAACAGAGCTACAACTAACCAAATTCATCATTTTTGTTACGGTTCAAACTTTCTTCAGTTGTATCAGTATTCACATTCAAATCACTCCTTTTGGCTCGGCCAGTATTTAAACTAGAATCAGTTATGCATGCACATTTTCGTGGTTTCCTCGATGGAGAAACAGCAGCAGAACTGAAACAGGGCGGTTGTGGCATCCCTACAGCATGCTTCTGCAGTGTACCATGTTTTGTATTTTGTGTGGTATTCGTGCAACATCGGTTGGAATGAGATGGAGCCTGGAGTTGGCCAGGACAACAATATCTACGCATTGCAAGGTTGGGCTTCGTAGGCAGAGAACCTGGAGGGCATGAATTCAGATCCAAGCATAAAGAACTCCACGGGTTATCCTTCTCTTGGTCTGTCAAACCCAATGTAATTTTGCTGCCTTCTGAGGGCCCACAGGCGTTGCCTTCTAAAGTGCCATTCATACTTGGTTCACTTTGTGAATGATTAATATCTGCATCTGTGGCAACTTTTGCCACCTAATGGCAAGTAAAGAACAAAAATGTAAAACACGTATCAGAATAAGTTATAGCTGGCCCATTGAAAAACAAGATTCGGATTTTGTTTACCCTGGTAGAGATAAGGTACCATAGAAATCATGAGATAAAACTAAGCTTAACTTTTGGGCTAGACAAAAACTGAGAAACAAACCGAGCAAAAAATCTGAGATACAAAATTGCAAGGATTAACATAACATATAAGCCAAACCTTGCGATTGAAGAGCACATCCAACAATCACAAACAGTGGTGCAATTGGTTAGAAACCCAAGAATAATACAAGATGGAATTTCCCATAAATAGAGAATAAGAGCACTTTCTTTTAAAACTAAATAAGAAGCACATTACTAGCTAATAATGTAAGAAGCACATTAGTAAGAGTTCAGAGGTCAATCCTTAAATAGAATGTGGCCCACTTTAAAACTAGAATCAGCTGGATTTGCCACAAAGTTACAAACAGCACATACATTTGAGCATAGACAAAAATTCTAAAATTCAAACTGCCATATTTCTAAAATAAAGCAGTATGATGGGTTACATCACTTTATAGACAATGTGAACAAATAAAATTAAAGCAGGAAGAAGAAACTCATTAACATAATATCATCAAAGAATGACTTATGCCTCTCATGACTAAAGCAGTTGAATACAAACAAAAATATATGAACAAGGTACCTTATTTTGTATGTTGAAGTTCTGATCAGAATCAGATCCTTCCTCTCCTTCAGAGTCGGCATCTCTTCACAGTCAAACTCTACATTTTCCCCAATTTCTTCATCAGAATCACTTAACTCTTCCTGTTCCATCACGATTTCTGAAACACACGGGTCATGGGCACCTGAATCAAGATTCTGACTGATTCCCTTTGGAGTAGAAGCTGTTGGCTGTGCACTGCAGTGATCCAATGAATTTGTTGTGTTTTGAAATTCTGAGGTTTCAGAAGCTGGAACACTTACTATTGACACCGTTGGATTGCGTTCACCTGCATTTCTACTTCATGCAGCTTTTGACTTACTATATGTGCAACTCAGTTGAACATCCAAATCAAGTCCATCGCTCTTTCTACTAGGACTAGAGGGTGTAGCAAAGGTAGCGATTGGACTACTATTGATGTATGACATAGCCTGGAAAGCATCAAATGGATTCTGAAATTGAGCACCTATGCCCCTTAATGATTCTGAATTAACAGATAGTTGGCCAGCTGAGTGTGCAGCTACTGAGTCACAATTTACATTATCGGTTCTTTGCAGAAGCGGATGGAAGTCAAAACCAACTGCTGAGGAGGCAGCAGTTACCTTAAGCCGTGCAATTAACCAACACATCAGATCCAGTAAAAGAATGGATGCCAATGAATGGAGGTAAATTTTTTTGGTCTACTATTACCATAATTACATACCTTTATCGGATTTTCCGGTGCTTTAGAAGATGAACGATTCTTCTGCCTAACAAATATCAGTAACACAATCAACATGTAGAATGTAAATAACCACACCAATGCTGAATATATTACGGCATTTGTTTCCATGACTTTTTCAGAACCATGTGCAAACAACATATTAAAGGTTGGATTTTCACTTTCCTTTAGAAATATAAAAGTCTCTATGAAGCCCTACTGCTTACTTTGTTTGACTCAAATGGGCGAACAGCACCCAATGGATNAGAACCATGTGCAAACAACATATTAAAGGTTGGATTTTCACTTTCCTTTAGAAATATGAAAGTCTCTATGAAGCCCTACTACTTACTTTGTTTGACTCAAATGGGCGAACAGCACCCAATGGAACAATGATGCAATTTATCAGACATGCCAAAGGTAAACAATTACATTTTGATTTAAAAAGGCAACATAGTATGAGCAATGCCGAGTTTGGGAAGGAAAATACCAGATGCTTAGATTTGAAAGGAAGAAAGCGCTGCTGAATGGCCTTCCAGTATGTATTGTACTCCATCAACCCCATTGCCAATAACCTGAAACACAATCCAAAGTTGAAACAAGAAAACTTCCATGCTTCAAAATCAAAGGCAGCTCAAAAAATGCAAAATTGTATTGCAGTTAATCAAACTTTGCATAATGTCCTTTAAGAATCTCTTGACAGAGGGTGATTCTATGAATGAACAATGATAGGAAACTGATGGACGTTTGTCATGAATTCCAAGTGCCTCGGATTGAGCTTGTCCTACATTGGAATTGCAACTCCTTCCAAACTAGTATTTGAACCCTGTGAACCTCTGATTCATGGTTGGTTGGTTTGGAGTTGGAAGGTTCTAACCTAATATCACAGCAGAGTTTCAGAAGAGAATAGACAAGGCTCAAGAGTTTGTTTGCCCGGTTATTTATTCAGTTGAGATGATAGTCAAAACTCCCCACTTATAACTCAATTTGCTTGTAAGAGGGAGTTTGAAAGTTTGTCCCACTTCGGTTAATGTTTGGCTGTATGCCCATTAGAATAAAAAAAAATGTTGAGAGATAGGTAAGTTAGAGGCTATCCTTGGGTGCAGTGGTAGATCTGTACTAGAACAAACCTTTTCACTTCAAAATGCAAGTTATAATTGCAATTATTGAAGTCTACTGTTAAACATAGAAAGGGTATGTTACAGTAAAAACAGTATGTTAAACTAGTAAAAACTATTAATGGGCGCTGCTTCACTGGTTATTCCAGTTGCCAATACGATTTCTGAACCATTGGCTACATGTTGTAAAAGTGGTNTGCAAAACAGCTGCAAGAAATTTCCTGTATTCTTCTTCATCATCAACCTTTTGAAGGTCATCATCATCGTCCATTTCTTAAAGAAAAGTTTCAAGTTCGTCAAGTGTAAAACTAGCAAGTGAATAGCGAGCTCTAGTGCACATACAGACAGCATCTGCATCCATGCTAGGCTTCCAAGAATGTGCAGTATTGTCAAACTGTCCAACCGCATCATTAACAACATCTGTTCTGCTGCTCAAACCATTTTCTTCACGACATGTTTCTTCTTCAAGTAGAGAGATCAAAACGGCNTTCCTCTAGAAACTTGAGCATTAGTTTCATCTGAAGAATGAAAACTATGTTCCCTTTGAAAGCGATTGTCACTACTAAGTTCCAGATATAGGCACTGATAATCTCACACAGCTGTGGATAATTCCACATCAATACTAAGGCATATAACGATCATGGCACCAAAGAAGGAAGAAGTTGCAAAAACTTCAGAAACACGTTATTCCTTCTATATGACATAACAGTAGAAACATCATCCATGTAGCCGCCAACTAATGCAAGTGGAGCTACATCCAGCNTACTTAAACACCACATAGGCATCCATACTGAGAAGAAGTTTAACCATCCATTAAAAGTCAATCAGACATCTGAATTCTTCTATTGTTTATATGGAAAAAACAATCTTATAACAATTTGCTTCCCTTAACAAAATCAGAATAAAAGAGATGTGCAACAATCCATTGCATGGACACGTAATGACAAATGCATTGGAAATAGAGAGCTGATATATGGATTTCTAATTTTTTGGAAAATCTCCTTGTTTTTTCTCTCTTTTTTTTCATAGTTTCCTCCCAACCCATCCAAAATGCACTCTAAAAGTTTCCCCTTTTCACTTTCAGTGCACGAGGCTCCATAAAACATGATGTTTCACTTTCCTGATCAAACATACAATATAGCACTCACAAGAAAATGACCTTAGTATGTGGCAATGGGATGTGGGAGGGATGGATTAAGTGCCACTGTTACATAGCAATGAGTCAAAGGTTTGTCTTGTTAAATCAACCCAAAAAACTTGAAATATATATAAATAACAAATTCATATTACACCAACCAATTCACAATAAAAAGTGTGTGTGTGTGTGTGTGAAATTAGGGTTTTACAAGATAAGACAACTCCAACCTACATATGCACACAATAGAAAACTATGCTCCAAATTGAATTTTACAGAGCATGAGAATATAGAAGACCTAAATTTTCAATTTTTAACAGAAATTTGAATAGTAATTATTCCCGGCTATGGCAACAAAGCAAGAGTTCTCGATTTAACATTGATCAAATAAAACAATACAACTCATGGATTGTGTGCCAAAGCACACAGAGAGAGAGTAGTACATTAGTGAGAGTTGCGATGGAAGAACGACTGATTACGATCGCCGACTGGAGTTTCACAGGGCTGATGCAGCGACTACGGGAAGACCAGAGAAACGCAATGGGTCGACTCGGGATTGTCTGGATATTAAGTTCGGGTTGGGGCGTAAATTTGTCACTAAAACATACATATCCCCTCAAGTATAATAATTTACGCCTACACCCCCAAACAACGTCATCCAAATAAACGGCACCCCTTTCGATTAGGCATATGGTTTGAGGAAGAACAGGATGGCCTTTTAGCCCAGAAGTCCATTGTCCATGGGCCTGACCGGCCCATCAAATGGAGGCCTTGGGTAACAGATAATTGTTGAACAAACTAGGTGCACGAATTGTGCAATTATAAGTATAATATTGATAAAAAAAATATTAAAATCAAAAAATTCAAACTTGTCATATTTTTATTAGATAAAAAAAATGCAACTATANATTGTCCATGGGCCTGACCGGCCCATCAAATGGAGGCCTTGGGTAACAGATAATTGTTGAACAAACTAGGTGCACGAATTGTGCAATTATAAGTATAATATTGATAAAAAAAAAAATTAAAATCAAAAAATTCAAACTTGTCATATTTTTATTAGATAAAAAAATGCAAGTATTATATTGGAAATTACTTTTTGATATTATAGTTAGATCCATCTAGCTTCCTCAGTGAGTAAAAGGATGGATACAACTACAATATAAGACTGCTGAGATTGTGCTTAGACCNAGGGTATGTTACAGTAAAAACAGTATGTTAAACTAGTAAAAACTATTAATGGGCGCTACTTCACTGGTTATTCCAGTTGCCAATATGATTTCTGAACCATTGGCTACATGTTGTAAAAGTGGANCTGCTGAGATTGTGCTTAGACCATCACCATTGGTCTAATATTACTCATTACCTTGTGAAGATTTTATTAAATAAAAAAAAAAAAAAAAGACCATCCAATTAGCATCTAGGTCAAGCCCAATGATTNAGATCCATCTAGCTTCCTCAGTGAGTAAAAGGATGGATACAACTACAATATAAGACTGCTGAGATTGTGCTTAGACCATCACCATTGGTCTAATATTACTCATTACCTTGTGAAGATTTTATTAAATAAAAAGAAAAAAAAAGACCATCCAATTAGCATCTAGGTCAGGCCCAATGATANCAGCAGCCAGTGTCTTCCTAGGCATTTGATCATTTGCAGAAGAAGAAAGCACCATCATGGAAGCTAGAGGGATAATTCCTCTAGAAACTTGAGCATTAGTTTCATCTGAAGAATGAAAACTATGTTCCCTTTGAAAGCGATTGTCACTACTAAGTTCCAGATATAGGCACTGATAATCTCACACAGCTGTGGATAATTCCACATCAATACTAAGGCATATAACGATTATGGCACCAAAGAAGGAAGAAGTTGCAAAAACTTCAGAAACACGTAATTCCTTCTATATGACGTAACAGTAGAAACATCATCCATGTAGCTGAAACATCATCCATGTAGCTGCCAACTAATGCAAGTGGAGCTACATCCAGTATGGACATTACATGACCACTCATATAAGGTATCCAGAAGGAGCCTTCAGTAGTTGGAAAGCAACCCATCTGCCCATTAGAAAAACATTCATGTCTTCCTTTAGAGGGGGAAATGATATCAGAAGGTGGCACCATATTATTTACAGAAGAGAAGTCTCTCAGGGGATTACATCTTGAAGATGATTCAAAGGTACCCAGTGCAGGCAAATTTTTAAGGTGTCCATCTGGCACTGATGGATGATTGTGTGGATTGCAAAAACAAAAACTGGGATATGGTACCCTTCTCCTGGATAATACTTGATCACATTTATGAAGCATCACTGAATCAATCCCCTAAGTTCAGATGCAATCTGCTGTCGAGCAGGCTCGCTAACACATAGAGAAAAAATCTGAATAAGAAGTTGCACATGCTCATTTATTAAGCCATGCAACTGGCCTATTTGATGAGGACTAAACCCATTTACAGGACCATTATTTGCAGAGGAAAGCAGACATTGTGGAGCATTCTTAGGCATCAAACTTTTACCATCAAAAAATTTGAAAGATGGAGCTGGGCCAATGAGTAAGAGGGGGCGTAGTGGCCTATTCATCTGTCCCAGCAGCTTTTTCTTGTGTTTAAAAAAATCTTTTTGGTGCCTATTTTGCCTGGTCTTTAGACGTCGACCAACTGCCTCATACTCCTGTTCATGGGTCTTATCCCTGGTATTTTCATCAAGGTCACTCTCAAGCACCTCTTCAATTTCTAGCTCAAAGTCTGCATCATTTTCTTCATCTTCCTCATCAACATTTTCATTTTCTTGTAAACTCTGACNAGTCAAAGGTTTGTCTTGTTAAATCAACCCAAAAAACTTGAAATATATATAAATAACAAATTCATATTACACCAACCAATTCACAATAAAAAGTGTGTGTGTGTGTGTGTGAAATTAGGGTTTTACAAGATAAGACAACTCCAACCTACATATGCACACAATAGAAAACTATGCTCCAAATTGAATTTTACAGAGCATGAGAATATAGAAGACCTAAATTTTCAATTTTTAACAGAAATTTGAATAGTAATTATTCCCGGCTATGGCAACAAAGCAAGAGTTCTCGATTTAACATTGATCAAATAAAACAATACAACTCATGGATTGTGTGCCAAAGCACACAGAGAGAGAGTAGTACATTAGTGAGAGTTGCGATGGAAGAACGACTGATTACGATCGCCGACTGGAGTTTCACAGGGCTGATGCAGCGACTACGGGAAGACCAGAGAAACGCAATGGGTCGACTCGGGATTATCTGGATATTAAGTTCGGGTTGGGGCGTAAATTTGTCACTAAAACATACATATCCCCTCAAGTATAATAATTTACGCCTACACCCCCAAACAACGTCATCCAAATAAACGGCACCCCTTTCGATTAGGCATATGGTTTGAGGAAGAACAGGATGGCCTTTTAGCCCAGAAGTCCATTGTCCATGGGCCTGACCGGCCCATCAAATGGAGGCCTTGGGTAACAGATAATTGTTGAACAAACTAGGTGCACGAATTGTGCAATTATAAGTATAATATTGATAAAAAAAATATTAAAATCAAAAAATTCAAACTTGTCATATTTTTATTAGATAAAAAAAATGCAACTATAATATTGGAAATTACTTTTTGATATTATAGTTAGATCCATCTAGCTTCCTCAGTGAGTAAAAGGATGGATACAACTACAATATAAGACTGCTGAGATTGTGCTTAGACCATCACCATTGGTCTAATATTACTCATTACCTTGTGAAGATTTTATTAAATAAAAAGAAAAAAAAAGACCATCCAATTAGCATCTAGGTCAGGCCCAATGATATGTTGCGATGGAGCCTGCTTGTTTTGAGGGTGAGCAATTAGTATCTCAGGTTCGACACTCATTAGTTCATGCATGACATTAAATAAATCTAGTATTATGTTAGAATTGAAATTATGCAAATACTTATTTCAAGTTTTGCGCCAAGTTTTGAATCTATGTACTATTAGGCTGATTATTTTCTGAATTCATTGATTCTGCTTGGCTAGTACTTGAACTTATTTCTACATGGTGTCACTACTTGGGGTTGAGTCGTCATTGTTGTGGACATTTGAATTCAAGTATTGAGTAAGAAAATTTGAATTCTTACTCACTATACTAATAGTTCGATAGTATTTTTAGCTGTAAATGTTGGTTTGACTTATTTATAATTATTATTCATAAAAATAACAATAAAAAAAATGCCTAAAATGTTTTTTTAGGTTGTACCTGGACCAATGTTCTGGAGTCACTGGGCCCCACAGTTCAGCTAGCATTTACGGTATGCTGTCCTGGTGAAAGATTCAGATTCCACTGGCTAGCTTACAGCTCCGGGGCCCTCATTTGACTATAAATAAAGCCTCTAAAGCTCTATTCTTTCTCCTTAAATTTAGCTACTTTAGCTAATTATTCTATGTTGACTGTCTCAAGAAACCACAAAAACTATAAATAATTCTCACAAATCGTAAATAATCTCTAAAAATTATAAATGACCCTCACATTTTTGTGAAAAAAAAATTCACAAAACTTATAAAATGATAGTACGATAATACAACAAAATAGTGGTTGCACACGGTCATTTTGGGCAATGATTTCATTCTCTAAGAGTGATTCAGTGTGATCTCTAATAATTTAAAGGTTTCAAATTCAACACTTCTTATAATTTATAAAGATCATTCACCTTTATTCTTGAAAATACATTCTAAATTCTCTTGGACTACAATAATAAATATTTAAACTCAGGAGAGTAGTTGACGCACATTTGAACCTTCTATAATAAAAAAATATTTCGAATCTATCACTCACACCTTCCACTCTCTCTTTATCATCATTCTCCATAAGCTTTTCAAAAAGCTTGCGATCCAAGGATGCCCTTTAACCCCGATAGCCCATCACTCATCGCTCCACCCAATCGATCATATGATAACCCATAGACAACCAGATAGCCCGACGGATAGGATCATATGACATGGTATTTGATCTGTTATTTTCAACAAAATGATCCGGGCAAAGTTAACGGATGCTACCCATAAGAACAACTCAATAGATAGCCAACTAAGGGCCCATTGAAATCTGTTCACGGGTTTAGGGCTTGATCAGATCATGAACCATAATCTTTTAGGCAGCTCATGACGATTCAACTGATTGACAGTTTGACGATCCACAGGTTGTTGGGCTAGCTAATTCCAATCCTTAATTCTCCACAAGGATCTAGACCTTCTATAAATTCATTTAAGAAAGCACAAATGGATTATAAAAAGGGTTTACAATGCATCAAAACCTATCAAAATGATATAAACTAATCAATCTTTAAGAAGGATGCCACCCCAAATCTTATTCTTGCAATAAAAAGAAATATATAAAATTGTCTATTGCATGATGAAATCAAACTATTAATTAGGACTTAATTTGAGAAATTAACCAAAAATAGGGTGAAGTAAGCTATTCAATGGAAGTGGAGTACTTCTGCCTCTAGCATGTATGCGAATTTGATAAAAAACTAGATGTTGTCTAACACTAATAAGGTTGAAAAAAAGGATATGTCGACCAAGTAACGGGACTCCCGATTCTATTTTACTAAGCTCCGTCCCTATTACAGTCATTAAATCAATTGTAAATTTTAAAATCGAATGTAAATCATTTTCAATCTCATAGTTGCACTTGATTAGGTATTAAAACTGTTAAGAATAATAAGGTAGTATGTGTAAATTATTAATAGTAAGAGGGTGTATGTGTAATTCTCATTATTATAGGTTAACTATAAATACAAGTGATGTAGGAGAGTTAGGTTATGTTTTTAACTTCTCTCTATTTCTCTTTAATATTATGTTAATCTTCTACACTTAACATGGTATCAGAGCAAATACGATCATAAATATATTCTGAATAAATTAACTATGTTGTGGTTGTGGTCCTATTGTTCGTCAAAGTTATCATGGTGGCTGTGGTGGTACTGTTATTGTGGCTGTGGTGGTCTTGTTGATCTCAGTGTTGTGGTGGTGTTGTCGTTGTGGTGGTGTTGTGTGGTGGTTAAGGTCGTTGTTTATTGTTGTGGTTGTGTGGTAGGGCGCAGTTGAAGACCAGGGTTCACTGGAACCCTAATCGCAACGAAGAAGACAAGGTCCACACGAAGATCCAGACCCGACTTTTATCTAACCCGATTTAATTCAATCCAACCCAATTATTTTAAATTGGGTCCAGCCCACTGAACTAGATTGGTTCAGTGGTCCAATAAGTCCCTGTGGTCTGGTTCAGTTCGGTTCAATCAGTTTTTAATCCGGTTCAATGGTTCAACAAGTCTATTCGACTCGATTCAGCGGTCCAGGGCCTCTAACAGGCCTGGTTCAGCGGTCCAGGGCCTCTAACAGGCCTGGTTCAGCAGTCCAGGGCCTCTAACAGGTCCATTTCAACAGTCCAGAGCCTCTAACAGGTCCAGTTCATCAGTCCAGGAGCCCTAACAGGTCCCATTCAGTGATCTTGAGCTTTTAACAGGTCCGGTTCAGCAGTCCTGAGCTCCTAACAGATCCGGTTCAGTAGTCCAGAGTTGCTACCACGTCTGGTTCAGTAGTTTAAAGCCTTTGCCAGGTCTAGTTTAGCATTGTAGCATGTCCGATTCTGTATTTCAGCCTGTCCGATTCCTCTGATTCAGCATTGTAGCACTTCTTGTTTACTATTTGCTGCACTATCATGGAACCCAAGCATGATACCAGGTCTCTTACTCCATCTTTGTCTCCTCCTACTCTTATCAATGATCACATGACCTCTGTTAAACTCAATGAGACCAATTATACTTTATGGTCCCGATCTGTTCAAGTTTTTCTTCTAGGCAAAGGATTTAAGAAATATTTGGTGCATCCTAAACCCAAGGAAGATAATCCTGGGTATGATCAGTGGGAACAAGAAGATGCTCAAATTATTTCTTTACTACTGAATAGCATTGAGCCTAATATTAGTTCCACTCTACTTTATCTTGACACTGCCAAGGAGATATGAGATCACTTGACTATTATGTATTCTGGTGCAGGCAATTTTACCCGAGCTTATGAGGTGTGTAAGGAGTATTTTCGGCTGGAACAAAGTACTCTGAGTATTGAAGATTATTATTCTTACGTTCGGAGAGTTTGTGAGGATAAAGACCTACCATCCGTTTACTACTGATGCAGCAGTTTGGCAAAAGTAACACGAGAACATGAATGTTGTTAGGTTTTTGGTAGGACTAAAGTTCGAATATAAGGCTATTCGTTCTCAGATTTTGGGTGGTTCTAGTCGNTAAGCTCCGTCCCTATTACAGTCATTAAATCAATTGTAAATTTTAAAATCGAATGTAAATCATTTTCAATCTCATAGTTGCACTTGCTTAGGTATTAAAACTGTTAAGAATAATAAGGTAGTATGTGTAAATTATTAACAGTAAAAGGATGTATGTGTAATTCTCATTATTATAGGTTAACTATAAATACAAGTGATATAGGAGAGTTAGGTTATGTNCATGGTGTCTCTACTGATTGCTTAGCTCTTGTAGTCCCTAGTAGCCACAGTGATGGTCCTCAAGGTGGTCATGGTGGTCGAGGAGGTCGTACAGGGGTCATATGGGTGGTCATGGGAGCCATAGTGGACCTCGTTCCTATACTTACTGTGGACGTGGAGGGCATATTATTGATTTCTGTTGGGCCAGACACTGAGTCGGTTACTATTACACGAGAGGAGTATGCTCAGTTCTTGTCCTAGCAACAGGCTGTTCCATCTCCCTCCACTACTACTTTTGCTTAGTCAGGTATTACTTACACTTGTTTACTGTCCTCCACTCACAGTCCTTGGATCATAGACTGTGGCACCTCTGATCACATGACTGGTGCATCTGATGTTTTTACTACTTATTAGTATGCTACTTTCACACGTAGTGTTAANGGAACCCTAATCGCAACGAAGAAGACAAGGTCCACACGAAGATCCAGACCCGACTTTTATCTAACCCGATTTAATTCAATCCAACCCNCGTAGTGTTAATCTTGCTAATGGTACTTGTTCTAAAGTTTCAGGTCTGGGAACTACTCACTTGAGTCCTGATATGTCCCTATCTTCCATGTTATTTG